ATTTAGCTTTTTTTTTTCTTTTCAAATTGCTAGAAACTCTCGATTGCTTCAGTTATCATTATTACCATATCAGACATTTTGCATGTATAACAAATAAATAAATAAATTCTAAAAAAAAAAACATATCAGCAAAGTGAATTTTGGTTTTGTACCTCATAGAATTATAAAGTGTCATTTGTCTTCTTTTTTATTTCAAATCGCTAGAAACTTACGACTGCTCAAGTTATCATTGAACCATATCACACATTTTTTCAAATCGCTAGAAACTTCGACTTTTTTTTTTTAAATTGATAGAAACTCTCGACTGCTCGAATTATCATTAATACCCTATCAGATATTTTGCATGTATATTAAGTAAATAAATTAATTGAAAAACAAACCAATTAGCGAAGTGAAGTTTGGTTTTGTACCTTAGAGAATTACAAATGATCATTTGGCTTTTTTTAAAATTGATAGAAACTCTCGACTGCTCCAATTATCATTATTATGCTATCGGACGTTTTGCATGTATATTAAATAAAATAAATAAATAAACCTAATTAGCAAAGGGAAGTTTGGGTTTGTACCTTAGTGGTAAATGGTCATTTGGCTTTATTTTTTCAAATTGCTAGAAACTCTCGACTGCTGCAGTTATATACCCAATCAGACATTTTGCATTTATATTAAATAAATTAATAAATAAACTAATTTACAACGTGAAGTTTGTTTTTGTACCTTAGAGAATTATAAATGGTCGTTTGCTTTTTTTTTTCAAATAAAAAAAAAAATAATCAACAAAGTACTAAAAAAAACTCTCGTCTACTCCTCATATCTAATCTATCAAACATTTTGCATGTATATTAAATAAACTAAAAAAAACTAATCAACAAAGTGAAGTTTGATTTTGTACATTAGAGAATTATAAATGGTCATTTGCCTATTTTTTACAAATTTGTAGAAACTCTCGACTTCATTAATGTATCAGATATTTTGCAGCTATATTAAATAAATTAATTAATTAAAAAGAAAACTAATCAGCAAAGTAAAGTTTGGTTTTGTACCTTAAAGAATCATTAATGGTCATTCGGTATTTTTTTTTTCAAATTGCTAGAAACTCTCAACTATTTCAGTTATTATTAAAACCCTATTAGATGTATAAACGGTCATTCGGGCATTTTTTTTTCAAATTGCTAAAAATTCTCAACTGCTCCGGTTATTATTAAAACCATATCAAACATTTTGCATATATAATAAATAAATAAATAACAAACTAATTAGCAAAGTTAAGTTTGGTTTTGTACCTTAGACAACTATAAATTGTCATTTAGCTTTTTATTTCTTTTCAAATTGTTAGTAACTCTCGATTGCTCCAGTTATCATTTTTACTCTATAAGATATTTTGCAGGTATATTAAATAAAAAATTTAATTAAAAATTAGTAGAAACTTTCAACTGCAATAATACCCTATCAGCAAACTCAAGTTTGGTTTTGTACTTTAGAGAATTATATGTGGTCATTCGACATTTTTTTTTCAAATTACTAAAAATTCTCATCTGCTCCGATTATCATTAAAACCCTATCAGAGATTTTGCATGTATAAGAATGAAATAAATAATAAACCAAACTAATTAGCAATGTTAAGTTTGATTTTGTACCTTAAAGAATTATAAATGATCATGTGGTTTTTTTTCTTTTCAAATTACTATTAACTCTCAACTGTTCCAGTTATCATTATTAATCTACAAGGAATTTGGCATGTATATAAAATAAAAATTTTAAATAAAAAAACAAACTAACCAGCAAACTGAAATTTGGTTTTGTACCTTACAAAATTATAAATGGTAGTTTGTATTTTTTTTTTTTTCAAATTGCTAGAAACTCTCGACTGTTCTAGTTATTTTGCTTGTTTATTAGTTAAACAAATTATTTTAAAAAATGTTATCTACAGAAAAATCTCAATCTTTTATCAAAAGTTTCAATAAAGTCCTAAAAAAAATTTTGAACAGAAAAGTTTCAATATTTTCAAAAAAATCTAATAAAAAATGACTTTTTCGTTAATTTAGGTAAAACATCAAAATATTGAAACTTTTCTGTTAAAAAAAAAACTTTTAGGACTTTATTGAAACTTTTGAAAAACGTTTGGGATTTTCTGTAGATAACCCTTAGAAAATTATAAACCGTCTAGCTTTTTTTTTTTCAAATGGCTAGAAACTCTCGACTTCTCCGGTTATCATTAATACTCTATCAGATATTTGCATTTATATTAAATAAATAAATAAACTAAAAAAAATAAAAAACAAATCAGTAAAGTGAAATTTGGTTTTGTATCTTAGAGAATTATAAATGGTAATTTGGTTTCGACTCCTCTAGTTAGCATTGAATCCCTGTCAGACATTTTGGTTTTGTACCTTAGAGAATTATAAATGGTCATTTGGCTTTTTTTCAAATTGCTAGAATTTCTCGACTCCTTTGGTTATCATTAATATACCCTATCAGACATTTTGCATGTATATTAAATAAAATAATTAACTAAAAAAGCAAATCAACAAAGTGAAGTTTGGATTTTTTACCAAAAAGAATTATAAATGCTCATTTGGCGTTTTTTCAGATATTTTGCATGTATTTAAAATAAATAAATTGTCATTTGGCTGTTTTTTCAAAATGCTAGAAACTCACGACTGCTCAAGTTATCATTAATACCCTAATCAGATATTTTGCATTTATGTTAAATAAATTAGTAATTAAAAAAAACAAATCAGTAAAGTGAAGTTTGGTTTTGTACCTTTGAGATATAAATGGTCATTTGGCTTTTTTTTTTTTCAAATTACTAGAAACTCTCGACTGCTCCAGTTATCATTAAAACCCTATAAGACATTTTGCATGTTTTTAAATAAATAAATAGATTAAAAAAACAAACTAAATAGCAAAGTCAAGTTTGGTTATGTACCTTAAAGAGTTATTAATAGTCGTTAAAATTAGGGGTGAGCATAATAACCGAAAAACCGAACCATAACCAAATTAACCGATATAACCGAACCATAATAACCGAACCGTTTTAAAAACCATTGGTTCGGTTTCTAATTTTTGTTAACCGATAACAAACGGTTCGGTTATGGTTTTATAGGTTAACCGAACCATTATTAACCGAACCGCTAACTTTATATTTTAATATATAAAAATTATGGATTATATATAAAATAATATAGTCAAACTTATTTAAGACCCATTAAAATTTCAAAATATAATTCATTAATCCTCACTTATCAGGAGACGAACGTGCAATTAAACCATCAAATGATGATCATGCAGACACACACAATTTTCCAGTCATGCATTGAGTTGGATTATTGATTAATGCTATAATTCTTAATCGACTAATATAATTTGACTTTACAGTTCTATTCTAAGGATTTTTTTTTTAAATTTTCTTTTTTTATTTACTGTTTTTGATTTAATCACATTAAATGTATATGAGTGATTGTTTTTTTTTAATCCAGATAACACATAATATAAATGTTTAGCTATTTTATTTTATAGTTTTTTTTTATTTAATCGCATTGAACGTGTAAGAATGTTTGGCTTTATTTTAATGTTAATATCGATTATCAATATATGAAGTTATTAATGTCGATTTCTTTAATGTTTTATACTTTTTATTAAATGCTTTTGATTTTGAATGTGACTATGTGTTATCTCACACTGAGTATCAAAGATACACATTTTATTATATTATTATAAGTTAGGTTACAACCATTGGTACCGAGGACTTTTTGTATTCTCTTTTCATTTTTTATGCCACTGTACTTTCGTTATTTATATTATTTTGAACATTATGGTTAACCAATATTAACCATTAATCAAAACCGTTAACCGATAAAAACCATTAACCATAACCAATATTAACCATACCCAATGGTTACCAAAATGAATTAACCAATTATAATGGTTATGGTTCGGTTTTGACCAATAACCGAACCAAACCGCTCCATACACACCCCTAGTTAATATACTATCAGATATTTTTGCATGTATATTAAACAAATAAATTAGTTTGAAAAAAAATAATCAGCAAAGTGAAGTTTGGTTTTGTACCATAGAGAAACTCTGCTCCAGTTATCATTAAAACCTTATCATACGTTTTGCATGTATATTAAATAAATAATTTAATTAAAAAATAAACAAACTAATTAGTAAAGTGAAGTTTGGTTTTGTACCTTAGAGAGTTATAAATGGTCATTTGGTTTTTTTTTTTTTCAAATTGCTAGAAACTCTCGACTGCTCCAGTTCCTATCAGATATTTTTAAATGTTTATTAAATAAATTAATTAATTAAAAAAAAAAAGTAACCAGCAAGGTGAAAATTTTGGTTTTGTACCTTAGAGAATTATAAATGGCCATTTGGTTTTTTTTTCAAAGTGCTAGAAATTTTCCAGTTAGCATTAATACGCAATCAAATATTTTTGAATGTATATTAAATAAATAAATAAATTTAAAAAAAAAATTAACAAACTAATCACCAAAGTGAAGTTTGGTTTTGTACTTTAGAGTCTCTCGACTGCTCCGGTTATCATTAATACGCTATTAGGCGTATAGCATGTATATTAAATAAATAAAACTAATTAGAAAAGTGAAGTTTGGTTTTGTACCTTAGTGAGTTATATGGTCATTTGGCTTTTTTTTTTTCAAATTGCTAGAAACTCTTGACTGCTCTGGTTATATATACCCTATCAAACATTTTGTATGTATATTAAACAAATAAATAAATAAACTAATTAGCAAAGTGAAGTTTGGTTTTGTACCTTAGAGAATTATTAATGGTCGTTTGATTTTTTTTCAAATGAAAAAAAAAAATTTAATGCGTAGTACTAGAAACTGTCATCTGCTCCGGTTATCTAATCTATCGGACATTTTGCATGTATATTAAATAAACTAAAAAAAACTAATCAACAAAGGGAAGTTTGGTTTTGTACCTTAGAGAATTATACATGGTCATTTGGTTTTTTTTTTCAAATTGCTAAAAACTCTCGATTGCTCCAGTTAATACCCTATCAGACATTTTGCATGTATATTAAATAAATAAATAAATCATGTAACAGTGACGACTCAGATACTAAAAACTATATACAAATTTAAAATCATGTATAAACAATAAGAAAAACACCAATTTTATAGCTTTTACTTGGGAACCACCATCTGTAGCACTTCAGCTTGAGAATTAGCATATGCAGCAATAAGAGTGTTGATCTTGTACAAACCCTAGAATCAAATAAAAAGTAAGTAGCAAACAGGACAAATGAATGATGTAAGTGTTCTTTTTCATTTAATACTAAAAAAAGAAAACCTGGCTTAATGTATTCAGACATCAATCATTCATCTATTTGTAATTCTTCTTTTTTTCATCTAAACTCCTCTCATGTTAAAATTGATGATATTGCCAAAATTGTTTGTTGATTATAAGTGTAAAATGCAATGTCTCAAAGGCAATAAAATGATAATATAGCAAAGTATAACAAATTTTTATTTCAAAGTAAAATGCCCAAAAAGAAGAAAAGTTAAAAATATAAGGCCTTATAAGTTAGATATTCAAAGTATAGCGGTATAATAGAAAGTATAATGTTGGAAATGGTTAGATTTTCAATTCACAATGTCTTCATCATAATAAAAATGGAAGCAAAAGTTGGTAACCAGAACCAAAAAAGATTAGATTTTCAAAGTGCAATAACTTAATTGGAAAAAAAAAATGAACATAAAATGCTATTTGTAAGAAAATCAAACAAGTTTTCAAAGTACAATGAAAGTATAATGCTATAAATAGGTAAAGATATCTATCTAAGTATGTTGTAAGGAATTGTAAGTAAGTATAATCTTTAAAGAAATGTAAGTATGTTGCTATTGGTAAAAAGAATGAAGTATTTTGCTACTTCCTGAAATAAATAAATAAATAAATAAATAAAAAACAGATGTGTTTTACCTCTTCAACCTGCAAAGGATACTGCTGTGGCTTTCCCCAAAAATAAATGTAAATGAATAATAATAAGTTTGTCAAGATAGAGTATCAAATATATATATATATATATATATATATATATATATATATATATATATATATATATATATATATATATGAGAGCAAAGCCTAATTATTTTTGGTACAAAAGCAGTTTTTTCTAATTTATTTTTTTTAATAAAAATTACCTCGAGAGGGTCAGAGGGTATTGATAAGCCTCAGGAACTTCTAGTTTACAGCAGGAGGGGTAGAACGGTCAATAAATAATAAAGCAGCATGGGAGTGTAGTGCAGTCAAGGTTTTAAAATACGGAATCGGGCCTCAAGGCGTTTACCCCTCGCCTCACGAGGCATAAGCCTCGAGGCAGAATAAAATAATAATAATAATAATAATATATTATATTAATCATAAAAAACATACTAAAGTCCAATTTCAAACATAAAAGTCTTACTTAATGCCATCATCCCAAAAATAAAAAGATACTAAAATTCATAATAGTCTTCAAATCATGCCAAATTAGTAAAAACAAACACATATTAGTTTTCAAATCAAACCATGTTCGATTTGGCTAACAACAGTTAACAGAGGGAGTAAGAAGAAACGAGAAGAGAAAAGAAAGAAGAAACGAGAGAATAAGTAGTGACAGCTGGAGAAAAATGAGGTCAAGTAAAGATATCACGTGATTTCTAAGGTCAAAAAATCAAAAAAAAAAAAAAAAAACCGAACGCCTCTTACGCCTCGCCTCGGACCGCTTTTCACCGCCTCACAAGACTGAGGCGGGCGCCTCATTCTCCCCCTAAGAAGCGTAGCCTCATAATCGTTTTCGTCCGCCTCGAGAATTATTCCCTTAGGAGTGTAGGGCTGTTTATCGAATTTGTTATATAATTGTGAGAGAACTATCATTAATCATATGAATTCTGGAGTTTACGTGTCTTTGTGAGTTATTCTTATTCATAGCTTATCAGGTATTTTTAAGAGAGAAATTATGTTGAAAATGGAAATGAAAAAGATGGCAAAATGGTCATTTTCATTAATTTAACATCTAGGTTGTTAGAGTTGATGACCCAGGTACTAAAAAGCATGAAAAAAGGACCAAATTTGCAAAAAGATTCTGTTTTGGACCTAAACCACCAACCTGACAATATAGACATGTTTAGCTGTAGCAAGAAACTCTCAAACTCCACTATAGATGTAAAGAGGAGGAGATGTTATTAACAAATAAAATACATCAAATTTCAGCACCCTAGGAATATATATAATAAACAATCTAATAGAACATACATTACAAAGAACATATCGAAAACAGATAGAACCTAAAGATACTAAATAAATTCAGTGTAAACCAACATGTGAACGGATGATTAAAAAACATAGACCAAGTACGATAAAGAAATCATTTTATTTCCTTAAAAAGCATGCTACTGTAACACTAACTGGAAAATAGAAACATTTTACAAAAAAAGAGGTGAAAGACATAAAACATGAGAAAAGAGACTCGAGTAGTTGTACACATACCATAACCTTTTTTTATTTTCCAAGAGACTCTTAAACAATGAACAAAGAGTGATTACATTTCTTAAATTTTGAATTAACTTACCTCATCAGGAGTTTCCTCATGTCTATCAGAGTATGCATTCATCAACAAAATTCTTGCATTGGCTTTGATTGATGATTATAAATTTCCACATCAAACCTTCCACATGTGTCTGAAGAGGGCAATAACGTAATTTCAGCCAATTCAGCATATTATAACAAGCTTTAATAACTAATTCATTTAGGACAAACTTACTGCCCTGATTCCTATATGTAAATGGACATGATCCTGAATATGAAACCATGTTGTTCCTTTAAAAACAGAAAGAGCGTTTCTGTATGCACAAATCACATTTTTATCTGATAAAAAAAAGACAGAAATTGTCAGAAGCACACAAACTTAGAAACAAGAGTAAAATACAACTTTTCTGGTCCCTGATTATAGCTAATTTATGAATTGGGGTCCTTATTTGAGGTTCTTGTAACATTTATGGTCCCTGTTCCAAGTAAAGTGGCTATTTTTGGTCACCAAATATAGCTGATTTTTGCAATTTTCGTCCGAAAAATTGTCATTTTACTTTAGAAAAAGGATCAAAAACATTACAAACCTCAAAAAAGGACCAAAATTGAAAACTATATATGTGGGTCAAAATCTGCCTACTGTCCAGCATCTTCAATTCCATGTCCTATTTCAATAAAAAAAATATTAAAAAAAAAAAAAAAGGTTATTTGGAGGATAATTAAATTAAAGGAAAACTTCTTGTTTTTCGTAGGTTATTTGGAGGATCATTGTTTTTCTTGCATTTAGCCCAATCATGGGTTTTATGCATGAAATAGCAATATACATTCATTTTATTGTCTATTATAGCATCTTACTTTGATTTTTATTTCTTAATTTTTTAAAAAAATTTACTTTAACTTGTAATATGTAAAGTACATTGCTATTAAGAGTAAAAAACAGAGCAACTTACCCACATTGGTGGTGAGAGTAGAATACAGTTCTAATCCCTATAAATTCCACTTGATGAGGTTAAAAATATATCATCATTGAAAACAGCATGAGTGGCACCATATTTTGAAAGAAGATCAAAGACATTAGTGAGAAATTTAAATATGACCCTTTATTAATCAACTTATCAACTATCCTGAAAAAGCACCTTCTAACAATCATTCTTCTTCACAAATCACAGTAGCTTATTCCTAACAAACAAAAACACTATTTAATTAAATAATTTATAACTTTTGTTGAATTAGGGAGAAAAATAACAAAAATAACAATCCCACTTGCCATTTCGCTCTCTTTTTGCATTAAGTAAAAAAGAAACAACCTTACCGAATTAAGCCTTGTTCAGTTGTTCTGATTAAGGTTATTCAGTCAAAACTGATCAAGTGCAAAATTAATCCACGAGTCCAATGTAAGTTTCTTATCCATCCTATATAAGATAACATGAAACATTTATCAATAACAAATACATACCGAATTTCACACATAGATTAATTTTACGCTTCAAAAAAATTATTATTAGGATATATCCTGAGCCCTTTCTTATGCAAACAACAATCTTATATTTAAAAGGAAATTACAATATCTTAATAAAAAAAAAAAAAAAAACCCTAGAAAAACTTACAACAATCTTGATACTTTCTTGGACTGGAGAGATGAATGAGAGTCTCATTTGAAAGTTGTGGGTGTTTACGTCTCCGGCAGTGTAAAACGTATATATAACACTCAACTAAAAACCAGTTCCTTCGAATTCCAAAGGTTTCTTAGATCTCCGGCGAAGGAAGGTGATGCTTTGGTCTCCTGGGAGCGGAGGAGTTGCAGATATCGCCATCGATTTTCGGGGGCTTTTTTGGGTATCGGTTGAGAGCGGGATATCTGAAGAACGTATATATTGCGGGAATACGAAGCCAACCCTTTCGACTTCTAACGGTCAAATATTATAAAAGCTTTCCATAATTAACATTTTCTTAATTACAACTTATAAAAGTAACATATTAAATCTTAAACTTAATAATATGTTTAGTTATTTTTTGGAATATAAAAGCTTCAATTTATTAAAATGTTTATTTATTAATGGTTTTTCCAGCCCCTGGAGGCCCATAAACATAACCACATAATCTTTACATCAACCACATGCATATTATATTTGAAACTTATAGATAAAAATGCCATTAACATTTTAATACTAAAACTTACATTGCACTGGTATTTGTTCCTGAAGCTGCAGTTGGGACCACACGTTCAGCTAAAGTATCATATTTTTTATCCATGGTCCTGGAGAAATGGAATGGAGACTCTTCTAAAACCAGACTTTCAAAAATACTAAAATGCATAACACCTGAAAACAATAACTACTTTTAAAGATGACACACCGAGCCTCTACTATAGGGATGTCTTTCTTCTGGCTGCATAACACCTGGAAATAGATAATTAATCTATGAGATAAATAGCAGACAAATACAATGGAAAAGGTAAGAAAAAATGATATTGGACCTGAACAGGGCACTTCTTATGCCTTAAGAGTAGACTTTGATTTAGTGAAGGCTGAGGTCTGCTTTTATTACCCAACATGGATACAGAGCCTTGTTGATAGCATTGAGAGACACCATGTTTCTTGAGCACCACCATATCTACAGCTTTAGTTAGTATTACTCAAACTTAGCTGTGCATATTATGTTGTATGTGTGTGCAAATTCAAACAGCTAGTTTTAGTGTTTTAAAGAACGGACTAGTTGTTGTAATGGTTGCAAGAGAACAGATGATAAAGACACACAATTGAAATTGAGAACAAAATTAACACAGCAAGGCTTTCATGAAATCTCTATCAAACTTAATTTGATTTAGATCAATCATTACAAACATATATCAACAAGGCACGAATTAATCATATATCAGTATCATCGAATTTGAACAATAACAACAATTAATCCTCATTTCAATCAGCTACAAGCAAAATAACTCGATTACAAATTTAAAATCTGGTATTACGCCTAACAGACGATACGTTCAACACAAATGAAATGTGGAATCATATTATCCGAATGGAAGGAGTACAGTACATGAAAGTTTTGAATCATTTGCTTATGTTTTAGAATTAAAGAGCAGGGCGAATCATCTAAAATAGCCCTCAAATCAAGGATGCGAAACGACAGCAACATCAATCAATTTTGAAATTAAAATTTAGAGATTGCGTTATCAGCGAATTCGAAGAGTAATAAGAACGCATCGTTCTGGTCGGCTACAAACGAAACGAATTCATCAACAATCTCGTATTACGCCTAACATATACTATAAACATACGCACACACATATAGATGCATATTCAGATTGTGAAATTGACAAGAGATAGACCTGACGAAGGAAGGCAGATGATCACAGAAAACCCTAGAAAAACTTACAACAATTTTATATTTAAAAGGAATTACAATATCTTAATCACAGAAAACCCTAGAAAAACTTACAACGATCTCGATAATTCATTGGACTAGAGATATGAATGTGAGTCTCCTGTGAAGGTCGTGGGTGTTTACGTCTCCGGCAGTGTAGTTACATAGATCGCTATGGGTCTGGGTGAGTTTGGGTTTGTAGAGAGCGGAATGACTGAATAACGCATATATAACGGTCGACTAAAACCCAGTTCCTTCGAATTCCAAAGGTTTCTTAGATCTCTGGCGAAGGAAGGTGATGCTTTGGTCTCCTGGGAGCGGAGGAGTTGCAGATATCGCCATCGATTTTCGGGGGCTTTTTTGGGTATCGGTTGAGAGCGGGATATCTGAAGAACGTGTATATTGCGGGAATACGAAGCCAACCCTTTCGACTTCTAACGGTCAAATATTATAAAAGCTTTCCAAAATTAATATTTTCTTAATTACAACTTATAAAAGCAACATACTAGTAAATCTTAAACTTATTAATATGGTTTAAACATACTTTATGTTATTTGTAACTAATATCGACAGACCATTTTTTTAAGACAGCAACATGTTAAAATGTTAATTATAGACAAATTAGGGATTACATATGCAGCTGAAATCCTATAAAGGATTATAAAAATGTTTTTAGTTCTGAAATCATAATATATTTGTAATATCGGATTTAATTTTTTTCTTTTTTTTTGAAACAACAAACGAATTAAATGGAAGTATACTCTCAATATTAATATCGGGTTTAAATGAAAACGATATATAATATATTAAAATATTATAAATTTGAAAATATATAAAACTTCATATTTCATCAGTATTATAAACGAAATAAATTATAATACTACAAAGAAAAAACATACCTTATAATTATAAGGGAAAATGATTTATCAAAGTAATCATCTTTGTTGTTTTGATTACATTTAGACAACTTCTTTATTTTTGTATATATTTGACATTTTCTTCACTTCTAATAGCAATTTTATTTTTTAAATTTGTTTATATTATTTTTTTTTCAAACGTTATTTTTAAAATATCCATAACTTCCTAAATATTAATTAAATATTTATCAACTCTAAACTTTATTTTTTAATTAATAAATATGTTTTTTTGTGAAATATGTTGTATACCCTCTTATAATTTTTTTTTCTTTTGTTTTTAAGCATATAGAATATTTTAAAACTAAATAGCATCTAACAATAAAATAAAATACATTAAATATGTAACAATAAGTATGAAATATGTTTTAAAAAAATAAAAAGAAAATATTACTTAGCAAATAAAAAAACAAAAAAATCTATATAATGTAAATGTTTTTAAACACATCTAACCCTTATTATAATTATCCAATCCCCATGACGTATTAAACAAATTTCTTGTTTTATTATATCATTGTATTTTAGCTTAACCACTGTTTTGTTTTACAAAATTTCATCACAAAAACCAAAAAAGGTAACCTAACATGCTACAAATATTTTTTTTAATTATAACATCTTAAAAGCAACCTAGTAGCTATTTAAAGGCATAGTAACCATAAGATGGTGTAAATGGAAAGTAGGTTGCTATAAAATGACACTGATAAAAAGTAGGAAAAGTATATTACTATATGTTTACTATAGTAAAAGTTAGACACAAAACAATGTAGGGGTTTGTAATACATTCACATGTTTGATCAGATCAAGAAAGATAAGAAAGATATCAAACAAAGCAGGAATGGAGTCACTTTACATTTTAGGGCAAGCCTTATTGAGATCCATATAGTCCACACATATTCTCCATTTGTGGTTCTTCTTCTACACGACGACCACGTTGGCTGGCCATCTTGGGAACTGTACTTCCTTGATCATCCCTGTTTTGAGGAGTTTTTCTACTTCTTCTTGGATGATCTGGTTTCTTTCAGGGGCAAACTTTCTACTCTTTTGGTGTATTAGTCTGAAAGAATGATCAATGTTAAGTTTATGAATTATGATTTTTTTTCTATACCTGTCATATCCTCATGCTTCTAGATGAATGTTTTACATCTATATTTCAGGAACTTTATTAGTTATTGTTTGATTCGTTCTAGCAGTGAGGATCCTATCAGTATTTTGGTTTCAGGATACTCGAGGTTCAAGGGCACTTTGTAATACCTACAGATTCGGGCTAGTCAATTTAGAGATAATTTAGAATCAACAATCTTTACTAAGTTATAGTATATGTCACAAAGATTCTGTACATATAAAGAACATTAAATCCGAGTTATAACGAAGAAGTTACGAACTGTCGAAGTTTCGCGACAAAATCGGCACGACGTTGTGTGACGTAAAAAGTGAGTTTATGATAAAGTACTTTTTAGCCTTAGAAATCTAAATGAAAGTTGTATTATACGTTAAACCGAGATCATGCATAAAAAGAACGTCCAAATCTGACTTCGTATGAGGAAGTTATGATTTTTCTAAGATTTCGCATAGCAGTACACAACCCGGAATTCAAATTTTGGATCAACCGATTTTTATCCGACACAACCTAAACGATAATCGAAGATCTTGTTAATAGGAGGTCAATGATAAAAAGACAGACGAAAACAGACGTCAGATGATAAAGTTATGAATTTTTAACGGACTTTACCTGTATAGGCCTGTTAAAATATAACTTTAAAGATGAATTCAAAATTAGTCGATGGAGTCTAAATAAAAGTTGTATAGTATGTCTCCACCTACGCGTTAATATAAAGAACGTAAAAAACGGAGCTCATATACGAAAATTACAGAATTTAGAAGTTTGATGAGGCTGTTGCGAGGGTCAGTACGCCCCACGGTCTCATATACTAGGCTCCGAAACGACCACGTCGTCCCATCCGAAGCTCGCCACATGTCCCCTCGTACATGGAGTGTCACATCCTACACAAGTCGTAATGAGTCCATACAATGTACTCCGAAGAGTACACTCAGCGTAATGCGCAACTGAAACTTATATAAAGGATGTGAGGTTTACTCAGTTCTTTCACACCACAACCCTTCTCTCTAACCTCTCTATAAAACCCTACCAAAGCCCTAGTAACTCCTAAGTGCTAGAGGAAAGCCCCGGAGCACCAGAAGGCTCCGAAAAGAAGAGCTTTTCGACTCGGAAAGTTCTTCCCCCACAGAGCCCGGTTTCTCGCAAACCCCTTTGTAAGTGAGTTATGCTTACCTTACTCTAAGTATAAATTATGTTTCAATTTATTATCGTTATTATGAAATTATAAACAATATATATTATATAAAGTGTTATTATAGTATCTTTTAACTACTCGTGCTACGGGGAATATGGTTTGAAGGGTCGCATAGGGTTGTTGGATTTCAGAAGTGCTATAATGTCAAAATGGTCATGTCATCCGGTGTTTCATGTCTGGCCCTTGCATGTACATAGTGGTTGAAAAGTATTTTTTACACTTATAAAACAATATCACTCGTAAATAGTCTCTATAAATATTAGACTAAAATCTAGTGGTAATAATATTAGGTTTTGTCGAAGGAAAATAAAATCGTTAGAAGCGCATCGCTGCCCGAGTTTGAAATTATCACTTTAACAAGTAAGTGCATAATTACTTTTATCTTACACATGGATATGAAGCATTTAATATAAATTATGTGTTATGTGTGCATGTTATATGTGTTGTTGATATCTATGTTGGATGAACAAAATATACATATTTTATTTGATTTAAACAGCATATGTATTTTATACCTATAAAAATATTAGGTAAAGATGGGTAGATGAATTATGAGAGATGAAAGATGATATAGATGAATATTGAAAGCTATGGACTTAGTGCCCTACAAATGAACGTTGGCAGCTATGGATTTAGTGCCCTATAAATGGATATTGGCTGCTATGGACTTAATGCCTAACCGGTAGCATCAACAACTATGGACTTAGTGCATGTTGGATGAACCCTAGCAGTGATGGACTTCATGCCTATTCCTTAGGACAATCCTCAGGAATAAATATTGAGGATTAGATGATTCTTAGGGAAGATGCTTGAGAATAAATAAGATAACGGGGATGAGTAATTGGGTTAATTGTTTGATGATTAAACATAATAATTATATTATTGTGGGTTGAAAACCCTATGTACTCATCAGGTTTCCCAATCTGACCCATTCAGTTTATTTGTATCACAGCTGTCGATACGAAGCTACATTACACTGAGAGATTAAAGAAGATGTAAATCACTAGTGTAAATGAATGTAAGGTCTGTTTATGCTTATGTTTTTGTATTAACGATGACATCCGAAAGTTTTAATATAAACAAAATACATTTTTTTTGGAAATGCTTTGATAATATATTTATCATGTTTTTCTGAGAACAGATTCCGCAATACTTTTCTTTAAAAATGATACTCTAATTTTCAAATAAGCATAAATAATTTTTTTAAATGACTGTGAATTTATGGATGTCACAGTTGGTATCATAGGATTATTTTAAGTGAACTAGGAATAAGAATTTATTTCTAGACTTAAACTTAGAATGCTAAGCGATGAATCGTGAGGAGTGTGTCTAATATATTTTAGGAAGTACTCCTGAATAGACACAAGCACTAGCTTATTTAAGGAAGATGCCTAAAATGCTTTTATGTGCTAAATGATTTATGCTATAAGATGTCATATATGCTTTATGATGCTATCGTTTGATCGAATCTATGGTCTATTATCGATCGGATTTGGAAACTTTATGTGTTCAGATTTCTAAACGTTTAATTCCGGTATTAGAACTGACATATAACTTTTCGAAGTGATAAGGAGATTTATACGTCAATCGTAAATAAAGCTTTCCCTATCTTAACTCTCATCGTTGTACATACCAAACGTCTGATTTTGTGTATAGATTGACATGGTAAGAACTCGAAGCAGATTTGGAAATGCTAATGCTAATCAGCGACCTATGATTGAGCGTGTACCAAAGGTAGCAGCTACACCTGATCCAATCACGATGGCAGGAGTCCAAGCAATGATTCGGGCTATGATGGTTGAACAAAGGGAGGAGATGAGACAAATGTTTCTTAATAGGGATGAACTTACTCTGCCTATTGTTCAACC